CTTTACCGATACACTGAACTCAACAATCGCGCTAAACAAACGAACGTCAATAATACTTCTGACCGCAGTTCAATCACTCCCCCCCCCCCCCATTACCTTCCTTCGCTTTTATACCAGCGTAACCTATTTCTAGTAAGACCTTGAACATTCGACAAAGTACATGATAGTTCTAGAACCGTTGCGTCACGGCGGTCATGTGACTGCTGACGCAACAATACGAATTAACTTTATGTGCAATTTAAATATAGAGGTTGAGTAGTTTCAAAACAGTTTGTTGGTGTTAAATACTGGCGAAATATTTTACATAATTGCACAAAAGTGCATTCCACTGGTTTTTAATAGTGACGCTAGTGGAGCCACTACAGTAAACTGTTTAATGTTGACACCATCATTTATGAACATCTGCAACCATTCTGACAGTGATATTGGATATTGCAGAACGTAACATCTCTCCAGGAATCGCCTGAATCTCTGACATATTGGCATCCTTCAGTTCAGGAAAGATTGGAAGGTTGTGGTTATAGTTTGTTTGTTTTTAAGCGCAAATCTAGACAATGGGGTATCAGTACTTTACCCATCGAGGGTATCGAAACCAAAGTTTTAGTGTTACCAGCCCTCAGACTTACCTCTGAGTCACGGGGTGGAGGCTGTGGCGATAGACTCATAATTTGGGAAAGTCCCAAAACCAGTAGTCAGCAGGGGTGAGGTCAGGTGGTTGAAAACCCAAATCTGTGTGGACTATGGTTCACATCTTGGTCTACTGACAGTATGCCTAAGGTGTTGCCTCGGTAAATTCCATTTTGACGTTACTTGAACCATTGTTCCAAACATAACATTATTTTGTTCCTTACACTGCTTGCGACAAAATAATGGTTGTCCGTTCCATCACCTGCTTCTGCATCAGCTTAATTTGCATTTAATGATGTGCGTCGCCCTCTAGTGCTATTTACATAAATTGATAGAGCATGCATCTCTAATAATAACTTACGTATTATTAAGTATTTATTTCGTCCGTATGTTATACCGTTCGCTCCACAGAATGTTCCAAATACGCATAGTAAGTTAATAGCCATTCTACATATAACGACATTATAAAATCTACTGACCAAAGCAAGATTTGTTTTTGTTTGTATGTTTGTTTAAGCTAAAGCTGCACAAAAGGCTACCCTTGTTGTATCCACCACAAAAATCAAAAATCGACTTTTAGCTTTATAAACCCTCGGGCTTACCGCTGAGACATCGTGGGGCGAAACTCGTTTTCTATTCCATTAGCATTTCTTGCGTACATAGTGGCCCCCTAGTGGCTCAGCGGTAAGGCTGGGGACTTATAACACTAGAAACCGGGTTTAGATACCCGTGGCTAGCATAACAGAGATAACCCGTTGTGTAGCTTTGTGCTTAACAACAAACAAACATTGTGCACAGCAAGAGGCGGTAATTAACATTTAGCACTTTTTTTTTGGTGTTGTTTTTGTATGACTTAGTGACAATAAATAATACCATAATTACAGAAGTATAAGAACAAACCAAAATATTCTAAGTCGAAGGTAGTAAAGATAATAAAAATAGTATATAAGAAACAACTAAAGCATGTTGATAACACTGAAATAAAACATTGTAAAATAGTATATAAGAAACAACTAAAGCATGTTGATAACACTGAAATAAAACATTGTAAAATAGTATATAAGAAACAACTAAAGCATGTTGATAACACTGAAATAAAACACTGTAAAATAGTATATAAGAAACAACTAAAGCATGTTGATAACACTGAAATAAAGCACTGTAAAATAGAATGTAAAAGAATTGTAAAAAAAGTCAAGAGAAATAATACGTGAGTACTGAAACTTATCGGGACAAGGAAAACATTGAGAAGTCTATCAATAACTTTTCAATAAGTTTATTTATTATTTTGAATTTTGCGTAAAGCTACACGAGGGCTATCTGCGCTAGCCGTCCCTAATTTAGCAGTGTAAGACTAGAGGGAAGGCAGCTAGTCATCACCACCCACCACCACCACCTCTTGGCCTACTCTTTTACCAACGAATAGTGGGATTGACCGTCACATTATAACGCCCCCACGGCTGAAAAGGCGAGCAAGTTTGGTGTGATGAGGATTCGAACCTGCGACCCTCAGATTGCGAGTCGAGCGCCCTATCACCTGGCCATTCCGGGCCTTTTCAATAAGTATTTTGTTAATAAAACTGAGACTGAAAGTATTATATAATATTTTAGTTAAATTAAAGTTTTGTAGATTAACTGAGAATGGCTTAGGTATTCGTGTACAAATGCCAGGATTTTAGACGAGTCTAGAGATACCGAAATTAAAAATGAAGATTGGGAAACGTTGAGCTACTAACAGACTTAAAATTCAAGAATAGCTTCTTTGTCTGTTTTTTTAATAAACAAGTTTTTTTATAATCAAGTATTCATTGAGGTATAACTATTCAGGCAAAAACTGCTGACTGTCAAGTCGAATTTCTTGTAATAGTTTGAGAATGATTTGTAAGTTTACTTTCATTTTTGCCAACCTAAAAACCATAGTTTTGTGCAAGAAAATACCTCAGTAATTATAATATTCCCTTGTATCTATTGGGAAGCACAGATGTAACATTAGTTGATGCTTTAAAGTGTTAAAGACACTTATTAAACCTTATTTTAATCCAAATCAGTGATCAAAGTTATTTTATTTCAAAGTAAAACGGGGTTACTGACAAAGGATGGCATACCCCCCAAAAATAAGAGCCTAACTTACAGGAATAGGTTGAAATAAAACACTCTGAGATAAACTTTTTTATACTTCCCCCCTTTTCCTCTTCTTTGTTTGATAAAAATTGATGACAATACCGTCAAGTGTACTCCTTGCCGAGTGAACTGGGTGAAAGCTGATTGTAACAGGTTTATAGAGAATGCTTACATTATCTGTTAACAGATGGCAGCATGAACAAATACTTGGGAAAGTGACGCCCGCCATCTTTTCAAAGGCCATAGGCAATTGACTTATGATAGTTTATCTAATTAAATGAGCTATGATGACATACAAGCAAAAATTTATATAAAAATTTTATTTTTAAAATGCAACAAACACGGTTAGCTTTGAAGTTAACTTTTATAACATTTAATTCATTCTGTGTTACTCAACAGAATTGATATTGTGTAACAAGGCCTAACACTGATACACTGTTAACACTTTACTCCGTTAAATTCATTTAACTATTATTTTTCCAAATCATTTAATTTACCTCTAACTGCTCAGCAAAATTATTCATGAGGTACACAAAAAGGAACAAACCCAAAATATTTGTGAATGGTGTTACATGTTGTCATTAGAAGCAGTAAAATATAGTATTACTAGGAAAAAAACTCATTTAATATCCAATATTTTGTCTCCTAAGCTCTGTTTGTTTATGTTTTAAAATTATAAAATATTATAGTTTAAATATTTAAATTATGTCATTGTTCTGTTCCACTGTGTTTAGCCGTTATTTGTTTTTTACACTAAGATACAGGAATAGTGCAATGTGTAGTGTCTTTTGTCATCTTGCGAAATACTTGATTAAACTAATACATGTCTATTAATAAAGACACAATTAACATTTAAAATTTATATTTGGTGGAGGATTTTTAAAAATTTTCTTTTTTTAAAGGCAAGAAAGTTTGTTATGGAAGATTATGAAAATATCGAATAGTTTGATGGACATTCACCAGATTACTTTAATTCGGCAAAAAATATATTACTAAAGGAATATATTTTACACTTTAACACAAAAACAAGCTGTTTGATACACTTTTTATCTTGTTTAAAAAATAAAGAAAGAAACTGGAGGAAGTAAAAATTTCGTGATTTGTTTGAATTACGCTTTGTAAGTAAAAAACTGTCGATGGAAACTAGCTTGAGAAACTTAGAGAAGAGGCTACGAAACACTTATCATCATAGTATTATAGCTGTTGGTTAACAAGACTAAAAAAGTCTAAAATCTGACCAGCGTCAGTGGTAATTAAAGAAACGATGTTTGGTATCCTCAACGCTACGTGATTCATATCTAAAATAAAATTAACTTCGAAAATTTGTTAAATACATTCTGAAATCGTATATGATTAGATTTGTTATGTACAAAGGGGTTAAATCCCAGATGAATGTTTTGGTATGTTTCTCTATTCATTCTAACTTTTAGAAATTAAAAAATAAACAAACCCTAGCGACATAAAAAAGTAAAATAAATACTTTACAGATATTCAACAGAGCGAGAATTTATTTCAAGAAATATTATCAGTTGTCTTATCTTTTGTTTGTTCCGTTCTTTAAGCTCTCAACACGTGGCAACAGGCAGATCACAAGTAACTTAAAGAGTAGCTATAGAGAACATCTGGTGTACGGTGTATACCATACATGATACGTCAACATCTGGTATTTAACATTTGCAAAATATATATATGGTCTTACATGATGATTTACAATAAAAAAAATAACAATTATTACCTAGAAGTACTTTTTTGTATGTTTCAGTTTAGAATAGCTTTTTTAAACACTATATTCCCAGATACACCTCTCAATAATACTCTGGTAGAAATTTATTTTCTGTTATACTTCAACCAATAAAATAACACAAATGATAGCAACTTAATTTACGTAATTGACATCAGATTTAATCCAGTTGAATAAAACTTTATGTTATACATAAAACTACAATTAAATTAACGTTGAAAACACATTTTGTATGGCATATCTGTAGACAATAAACACTGTGTTATGTGCATATACTATCACATCCATCGCTCAGAAATATTGTCTCATAACAAAATATTCGTATCTGTGGGAATTTTGTAGCGTAACAAAACTCTTCCAAAAGTCCACTGTAATATTTATATTGATTACAATATTATATATTTTAATACCTTGAATGCTAGCACACATACGCCTACGAAAACAACACCAATATCACTGGCTTTATCTAGGAGAGATGGTGTATGATGCTTGGTTGATGGGTAATCCACAGAATAGATGTTAATGTATGGCATGGCCAATATTATGGATTACACTGGTTCATTAAAGCATTTCTCCCGATCAAACTATCTATTTTTCAATTTGACTCATGTGCAATTTTTGCTTACTAGTATATTCTATGACGGTCCTGTATTCACATTTACACGGAGCAAAGCTGGAGAAAGTGTGACGTTATACCCCTGAACTGTGACGTTCTTGTCATAACCGATTCTCGCACTGGCGATGTTATTAGCGTTTTCACTGAACTCTGCGCATGATCTGTGCGCACTGTTCGTTTGTGACGACACTGCCAAGAAAACCTGGCTTCTAAAGGAACGCCACGGGCCGTGCTCAGGAGCAAGATACTATACTAGGGCACAGCGGCGGAGATCACCAGGCCGCTTCGACCTTTCGCTAGGCCTACCTTTAACGAAGGACCCCAGAGGAACAGGCTCATCCTGTATGTGTAAGGACATTGTCCAAGGATACGAACGCCGCTATATGTATCCTGGCTACCCCAGCTCATGAGCAGCTCTCACTGGGAGTCTCGGTCGACCACAAGTGGCGGCCGCTTCGACTTTGATGATGGGGGTACATACTGTGGTGGGTGGGAGGACGGCAAAGCGCATGGCTATGGTGTGTGTACAGGCCCCAAGGGGCAGGGTGAATATAGCGGTTCATGGCACTATGGGTTTGAAGTGTCAGGGGTGTATACTTGGCCCAGCGGCAGTAATTACGAAGGTCAGTGGCAAAACGGCAAAAGACATGGCCTAGGAGTAGAGACCCGTGGCAGCTGGATGTACCGTGGAGAATGGACCCAGGGGCTAAAAGGTCGATACGGTGTCCGGCAGTCAATGACATCGGAGGCAAAGTATGAGGGAACGTGGGCTAACGGACTGCAAGACGGATATGGATCTGAAACTTATGCCGATGGTGGTATGTACAGCGAGATTTGCTAGAAATTCAAGTAATTTTTTTTTAGCTATAGTACATACATACTTATAAAAAATGTGCTCTGGATATTTATATGAAGGGACCTATGCTTTGAAATATGTTGAGTAAGATCTAGTCGAATAGCTGTGCATCACACAATTTAGACGAAATATAATTATACTGGAATACATCTTTAACTTATTTGGGTGTGGTATGATGATGTAGCTGTACACCCTCAACATTTAAGATGGAAGCTATACATGTAGAAGGTATTCGGGTTTGTAATATAGTATTAGAGCCTCAGATTTCATAGGCTAAATACCTTGTTAAAGCTGCATTTCTTTAAGTTATTCACGTACTAGATAATAAAATATTTTGTAAATAATTAACAGCTTTAGCTGCAATCAGTCTAGTACTTTAAAACGAGACACAAAAAAGACAAAAAAAAAAAAGATTAAACAAAATGCATCTCTTCTAACAGAAAAGAAGCGTTATTAATTAACTAGAAATAAAAATAACCAAATAAATCATTTAATAAATAGATTTTGAAACATTTTTTAAACTCATTTCTCTTATATTATTGAATATAGCATTTCAACTTTTCCGCTACATAGTTATTGAATATTAATGTTTATAAGTTATTGGGTGGTGTGTAAAGCTACAGCTGTACCTTTACGTTCCATCCAATAACTTCAGGAACCAGTGTAATACATCCTGAAGTTATTGGATGGAACGTTAAGTTAGTGTAATACATCCTGAAATTATTAGATGGAACGTAAAGCTAGTGTAATACATCCTGAAGTTATTGGATGGAACGAAAAGCCAGTGTAATACAGCCTGAAGTTATTGGATGGAACGTAAAGCTAGTGTAATACATCCTGAAGTTACTGGATGAAACGTAAAGCTAGTGTAATACATCCTGAAGTTATTGGATGGAACGTAAAGCTAGTGTAATACATCCTGAAATTATTGGATGGAACGTAAAGCCAGTGTAATACATCCTGAAATTATTGGATGGAACGTAAAGCCAGTGCAATACATCCTGAAGTTATTGGATGGAACGTAAATCCAGTGTAATACATCCTGAAATTATTGGATGGAACGTAAATCCAGTGTAATACATCCTGAAGTTATTGGATGGAACGTAAAGCTAGTGTAATACATCCTGAAGTTATTGGATGGAACGTAAAGCTAGTGTAATACATCCTGAAATTATTGGATGGAACGTATAGCTAGTGTAATGCATCCTGAAGTTACTGGATGGAACGTAAAGCCAGTGTAATACATCCTGAAGTTATTAGGTGGAATATAAAGTTAGAGCAGCACATTCTGGAGTTTTTGGGTGGAATATAAAGTTAGAACAGCACATTCTGGAGTTTTTTTAGTTGGAATACAAAGATAGAGCTGAAAATCCTGAGGTTACATAGTGGTGTATATATGGATAGAGTTGAACATCATGAAATTATTGGATGTAATATAAGAGTAAAGTGTAAAACCTAATGGTATTGGATGTAATATAAAAGTAAAGTGTAATACATAATGGTATTGGATGTAATATAAGAGTAAAGTGTAAAACCTAATGTTATTGGATGTAATATAAGAGTAAAGTGTAAAACCTAACGATATTAGATGTAATATAAAAGTAAAATGTGAAACCTAACGATATTGGATGTAATATAAAAGTAAAGTGTACAACCTAATGTTATTGTGTAGAATACAAGAATAGAGCTACATATCTGAAGTTACTCTCCGAGGTGGTGTGATAGATTATGTTAGAAGTGAAGGCTTAACGATGATACTACTGACTATGTTAGTAGAGACGTTATGTAATAGATGAAGTGCAATCAGTATACTAGTAATAAATTTCAGACAAAGTATTCTTATTGAAGTGATATCTATATAAATAGTACATAAGAAAATAAGGAATTGTTTTACTAGAGGAATGTGTGTGTGAATAGCAGATACTAAGAGATTTAAGAACTTTTGAAGAGCAACTTCCACGAATAACAGATGTAGAGTGAAATACTAATATTAACAGCAGATGTCAAGGTCGTAAGTATTACTTGGAGAGGGATATGTAGTAACAGAACATGTGAAGGCAATTGGGTATTGAGTGATATTTTTATTGAAAAGAGATGTTAAAACAATGAAATCCGTTTGTGTATGTTAACAGAGGTTATAAAAAGATGAATAGTGTTAAGTGAATGAAGTATATTGATAGATGGAGTACATCATGAAGATACTAGTTAATATATAAATATAGAGTTGTACATCATGAAGATACTAGTTAATATATAAAGATAGAGTGTACATCATGAAGATACTAGTTAATATATATATAAAGACAGAGTGTACATCATGAAGATACTAGTTAGAATATAAAGATAGAGTGTACATCATGAAGATACTAGTTAGAAATATAAGGACAGAGCTACATATCGTGAACTTAGCGGTTAGAATATAAAGATAGAGTTGTACATCATGAAGATACTAGTTAGAATATAAAGATTGAGTGTACATCATGAAGATACTAGTTAGAATATAAAGATAGAGTTGTACATCATGAAGATACTAGTTAGAATGTAAAGACAGAGTGTACATCATGAAGATACTAGTTAGAATATAAAGATTGAGTTGTAAATCATGAAGATACTAGTTAGAATATAAAGATTGAGTGTACATCATGAAGATACTAGTTAGAATATAAAGATAGAGTTGTACATCATGAAGATACTAGTTAGAATGTAAAGATAGAGTGCACATCATGAAGATACTAGTTAGAATATAAAGATAGAGTGCACATCATGAAGATACTAGTTAGAATATAAGGACAGAGCTACATATCGTGAACTTAGCGGTTAGAATATAAGGACAGAGCTACATATCGTGAACTTAGCGGTTAGAATATAAGGACAGAGCTACATATCGTGAAGTTAGCGGTTAGAATATAAGGACAGAGCTACATATTGTGAAGTTAGCGGTTAGAATATAAGGACAGAGCTACATATTGTGAATTTACTAGATGAAATATAAGGATAGCGCTGCAAATGTCATGAAGTTACTGGTTAGAATATAAAGATGTAGCTACACACTAAGAAGTTACTGGATGGAATATGAGAATAGAGCTATACATCATGAAGTTACTGATGAGACATATAGTGAAAGAGCTGCACACTCCGAAAGTATTTGGTGTGTTTGCTAGGAAGTCTCAAGAAAATCAATTGTGTCGTGTTTCGGAACTGGTATTTTCAACATGAATGATCTAAATGGCACATTTAGAGATGACAACCAGTAATTAGCACTCGCCGCCCATTTTCCTACTCTCAACAGAATAGAGGGATTGACTATCACAGCTAAAGGCATATCACAACTCGAACCATGGGCCTTCTGAGTTACGTTAACCTCCAGGCCACTTTCAGCCTAATTATATTTCGAATAAAATATACATGAAGTGTGTGTGAAGATAATGAAATGTATTTAGAGAAGGATATGTGTATTATATTAATAAAATTTGTGAAAATCATAAAATGAGTTTGACGAAGACATAATAACAGCAGATGTTAACACAATGATTTGCATTTGGAGAGTGAAATATAACAGTGTTAACACACATCATTTAAATATCAATATTATAATTTGTGATTAAAGAAGAATTCATATCAACAGATGTAAAAAAAATGATTTATTCAGCAAATAAGTATACATTATAAAATATTCTAAAGCCATGAAAGATATATTGATTATCAGGTGTTTATTAAACACTGAACTGTGTTTCGAGATATAAAGATATCAGAGAGGCCACATTAACATGTTAATGTGTAAGAACACAATAAACACAATAGTGACATTTTATAGCAGAACCACTTGTAAGGATAAATATGGATAGAAGCTACAACATTAATGTTTTATAGCAATGTGGCATCGAAGGACAAATTTGTTTATTAAATAAATAAAGGAAGTACTCTGTTATGTAAAACTTAAAATGTTTTTTATTGACAGATATACCCAGTATAATATTTATGGTTACAACATTTAACCAGGTTAACATGACATCACTAGGTACAACTAGTGTTTTATAACGATATGGTATCTAAGCACAGATGTGTTATTCTAGGGTAAGCTGGCAATTATTGGTATTGACAAAATTGTAACAGTTATCTTTTATCGCAATGTGACATGTAGGTATATTTGTTGATTGTGAAGTATTTTAAAAATGAAAGTATAGAAAACGAAAATAAAATAAGTATAGCAGTGATGTTTTAAAGCAAGATAACATGTTAAGACATATGTGTTTATTGTGGAGTATTCTAAAAGGTATTTATCGTGGAGTGTTCTACCAGTGATAAGTATGGAGAGAAACTATAGCAGTGATGTTTTAAAGCAAGATAACATGTAAGGACAGATGTGTTTATTGTGGAGTATTCTAAGAGGTATTTATCGTGGAGTGTTCTAACAGTGATAAGTATGGACAGAAACTATAGCAGTGACGTTTTAAAGCAAGATAACATGTAAGGACAGATGTGTTTATTGTGGAGTATTCTAAGAGGTATTTATCGTGGAGTGTTCTACCAGTGATAAGTATGGACAGAAACTATAGCAGCGACGTTTTAAAGCAAGATAACATGTAAGGACAGATGTGTTTATTGTGGAGTATTCTAAGAGGTATTTATCGTGGAGTGTTCTACCAGTGATAAGTATGGACAGAAATTATAGCAGTGACGTTTTAAAGCAAGATAACATGTAAGGACAGATGTGTTTATTGTGGAGTATTCTAAGAGGTATTTATCGTGGAGTGTTCTACAGTGATAAGTATGGACAGAAACTATAGCAGTGACGTTTTAAAGCAAGATAACATGTATGGGCAGATATGTTTATTGTAGATTATTCTAACAGTGATAAATAAATATGGGCAGAAACTATAAAAGTGACGTTTTAAAGACAAATAACATGTAAGGACAGATGTGTTTATTGTGGAGTATTCTAACAGTGACAAATAAATATGGGCAGAAACTATAGTAGTGACGTTTTAAAGCAAGATAACATGTAAGAACAGATATGTTTATTGTAGATTATTCTAACAGTGGTAAATATGGACAGAAACTATAACAGTGGCGTTTTAAAGACAAATAACATCTAAGGACAGATGTGTTTATTGTAGATTATTCTAACAGTGACAAATAAATATGGGCAGAAACTATAAAAGTGACGTTTTTAAGAAAAATAACATCTAAGGACAGGTGTGTTTATTGTAGATTATTCTAACAGTGACAAATAAATATGGGCAGAAACTATAAAATTGACGTTTTAATATAAGATAAACATGTAAGGACATATTTATTTCTTCTGTAGTATTCTGACAGTGATGAATACGGGCAAAACTATATTAGTGACGTTTTAAAGCAAGATAACATGCAAGGACAGATCTGTTTATTGTGGATTATTCTGACAGTGGTAAGTATAGACAGAAACTGTAGCAAATAAAGTAAGATAACATGAATGGACAGATGTGTTTATTGTGGATAATTATAATAGTGATAAGTATAGACAGAAACTATAACAGTGACGTTTAAAAGAAAGATAACATTTAAGGACAGATGTGTTTGCTGTGGAGTATTCTAACGTGATAAATAAGTATGGGCTGAAACTGTAACAGTGACGTTTTAAAGAACAATAATATCTAAGGACAGATATGTTTATTGTGGAGTATTCTAACAGTGATTAGTATGGACAGAAACTATAACAGTGACGTTTTAAAGAAATATAACATTTAAGGAGAGATGTGTTTGTTGTGGAGTAGTCTAACAGTGATAAGTACGGGCAAAATCTGTAATAGTGACATTAGCAAGATAACATGTAAGAACAGATGTGTTATTTGTGGATAATTCTAATAGAGACAGACTATAGCAGTGACGTTTTAAAGAAAGATAACATGTAAGGAGAGGTGTGTTTATTGTAGAGTGTTCTAAGAGCGGTAGGTAAGGATACCAACTATAGGAGTGACGTTTTATAGGAATATCACATGCAAGGACAGGTGTTTTTATCGTGGAATATTCCAACAGTTGATAAGTATGGAAAGAAACCATAACAGTGACGTTTTAAAGAAAGGTAACATGTAAGGACAGATGTCTTTAATGTAGAGTATTCTAACAGTGATATGTTTGGACAGAATCTATAAGAGTGACTTTTTAATACCTGATGACATGTTAGGACAGATCTGTTCATTGTGGAGGACTCTAAGATGTGCTTATTGTGGAGTGTTCTAACAGTGATATGTTTGGACAGAAATTATAGCAGTGACGTTTTAAACAAGATGATATGTAGGGAAAGATCTGTTTATTGTCAAGTATTCTGTTAACAATCTGTATGCACAGAAGCTGGGACAGTAACATTGTATAGCATAACTATGGACATATTTGTGTGTGTGTAAAGTGTTCGAGAAACTTTCATAAAGAACACGATTTCTATTATTATTAGGTATTTTCCCGCGTAGTCTTAGACGTAGAACGCAATACCCATGTAATGTTATTCATTGATTGTCACTTGTGATGAAAATCTATCTAATAGATTTTGATATATTTATCAGCATCGCTTCTAGAACATTGTGGATCTTTAATGAGGTCAACTAAGAGCTGAAGAATGGTTGTTTTTTATTTGTTTATTGTTGTTGTATTTCTTATTGCTTTTTTAAAGGGTGTGGATTCTTCTGATAGCATATTTGTCATCTATTACAATTATTTCAGGCATTTACCAAGGGCAGTGGCTAAGAGGTTTACGTCATGGTTACGGTGTACGTAATAGCGCCCCCTTTGGCTTGGCTTCACATACTCGTCCAAAGAATGCTCGATTTTCTGTTTCGTCTCTGGAACATGACCACGTTGACCCTGCGAGTATAAGAAATCGAAAAATAGATGACTGCCGGGGAGGCTTTGTACTGAAGGCGAAAAGTGACGAACCTCCTCCCAGAAGACGATCTCTTGTCGATAAATCCTCAACTTTAAAGAAAACAATCCTTCAGGTAAGAAGTGGCCAGCACATTCAGCTTATAATATTTTAAAACACAACATTTTTTGACTTAGTGTTCGTAGATGAAGAAAAGATCTCACAAAGCAGAACATGGTCGGCATGTATATTTCTTAGATTTTGAAACGTAACTTGCTTTATCTTACATTTATCACACTTAAAATAGGAATACTTCAGGTAAGTGAACAGTATATGTAAGTTCTAGGATTTCCACAGATACCCTGTCTGATCTTCTCTCATCTGCTGACATGAAGATAGAAATCGTTTAGTTAAAAATTGGTCGTTTATTTTTGTTTGTCTTGTTGATAGCTGTTTTCTTAGTCCAAAGCTATCTCATTCTATCCAAGATGGGTAATCGAACCCCGGTTTCTGACGCCATAAGCCCGTAAACTTACTGCTGATCTATCGGGAGACAATTCATTGTATATAGGTCCAGAATTTTCAAAAATAACTTGTTCTATCCTATATTACACTTGTTGGCGTAAAAACAGTAAACATTAGTTATAAAAGTGTCTGTGCTGGGCAGAATGCAGATAATATAATGTGTAACATTGCAACAACAAATTTTCGAAAAAGAACACCTATTTCTTCATATTTTCAGTCTAACGATCTATGTTGAAACAACTGATCATATTATTCACCGTAGAGGAGTTATTTCTTCTTTGTTACCTCCGCCACTGTGGCGGAGGCTATGTTTTCATCCCTGTGTATATGTTTTTGTCAGCAGGATTTCTCGAAAATGGATGAATGGACTTGGACAAAAGTTGGTGTACATTTGGACTATGGCTCAACTTAGAATCGATTCGTTTATGGAGTGTCAATGTCGCAGCAAAGTCACGAAAATCCATAAAATCCCTATCTGTTAACACGAGGACCGATTTTTCACACTATTTTTGCTCTATAACGATTGGATTTTGATTAAACTTGGTGGACATATATAGAATATTATTCCTCGTTGTCCTGACAAAAATAGTCCATGTACGTTGATAACGATGGACATTCGGATGACACATTTTCGTATTTTTGAGAACCGACTATGATCAACGCTGCGTGGCGGAGGTATGCGCTCTATTGAGTGTCCCTCTAGGTTTAAAGATGTATCTAAAAACTATTACAAATAAATGAAGGAAGCAAGATTGAAAGCTAAATATGAATTTGAAAACAAAAATTGTATAATGATAGGTAGAACCTTCTTGTGTGTATTACATTATATTGTGTAACATGTTAGTTCACTTTAATTGATGAAAGTCGTTCCATTTTAGACTGAATAATTTTATCTATGTGCAAGAGACACCTTTGGAAATAATCTATTAATTAACATTTGTTTGAACGGATTCTGGGTGGCTCGGGGGGGGGGGGGAGTTCATAGTTTTATAGCGTAACCACCTACCATGGGAATGTCACGCAGAATTTTTGGTTCAAGAAATAGGATTGCAGGGTCGCTGAATTCGAACATAACGTCGTATTTTGTGTTCCTGGTGACCCTCGAGATCCCGGGGGCGCCATTTTTGAAACTGTGCTTGTACCTTCCCACTCAGAAAGTAGCGGAGCTAAACTTAGCACACGTGCTTAGTTATCACAGACGGGTGTCCTAACTGTATTTTTAGTGTATGGACCCCCTTAAGATAGCTATATAAGCAACTGGGGATAATGGAGGAGCCTGATCATTACATTGGGTCTTTGTGAATCATAAGGGGGATTTTGAACCCCGCAGCAGAGCGCGAGAATTTCATACCAGTAATATATAAATGAAATAGATTTAATATATAACGATATAAAGAATTATTTTGAGACTTTGGATCACAAACTGCATAGAACAATCACAAGCTGCCTGATGCAATTACGAGATGAGCAATTTGCTAACAAGCCAAAATTTGGGAAGAGAGTAACAATAAGCACGCCCATCAGCTACGTCTTCAAATAATCACGTGCGCTATTCTTGTGTTGTAATTGTATTAGTCCACAGATAACCATTGTTACATTGTTTTGGTTACTTCACGTCAACTGATTATCACGGACACACTAGTCCGCGTGTACAAGTTACTAAGCCGGTTACTAATAATTATGGTTAAAGTATTGTTATGTTGGTTGTTCTGTGCTTAAAAATACACCTGTTTATATTACCCAGACTTGAGACATAAAGTAACTAAACTAGTAGTTGTGGTGACTTAATAACTAATACACCTAATAAATTTTACGTCTACAAATATACCTGGTTATATTACATAGGTTTGTTAGTTACTTTATGTCTACTAGTAGTTGTGGTGACATTTATTAGGTGTATTAGTTATTAAGTCACCACAACTAC